GTTCGTCTTGAGACTTAAAGATTTTGTCAATTGAAGCTTTTTCAGGCATCCTAATAGTACGACCAGCTAAACTTACCATTTTTTGGATGGTAAGAGATCTCGAGGTAGACCGAACAACTCATGGAATAGCTGTGTAAGCAACGATGCAAATGCGCTAGAAATTAGAAACTGGCAGAAGTTGTGTGAGGATAGAGCCAGTTTTAGACGAACTCTGGATGCGGCAATGGGCTCACGTGCGCCTTAGCCAAAGAAGTAAATAAGTAAACATACTAAGAACCCGAAATTATGATCCCTTCTGCCTCTCCCTTGTGACAAAACCCCTCGCCCCCTTCCTTCCTTAAAGAGTTACGTACGAACATTAAAGGTTATTGGCCAGTAATTGAGCATTATTTAAGCACCATCTAAAGGAGGTTCTAATCTCAAGCCACAACAATACAAACGCTTCAGAATGGAGAGTAGGTGCTGCTGTGAACAATAAATTCAATATCACCTCTACAACCTTTGTAAGATTCGAGGATGCAATCATTAAACGTTCATTTAAAAATGCGCCACAAACCATCCATCATCTTCAAAAAAACATGTCACAAAATTTCCCACTCTTCTTCATCAAATAGATATACAAGCTTTTCAGCAAATAAAAAAAAATTTGCATGAATTTAAATGAGATACAAAATTTCTTTCGCCTTCCTTTTCAAATCGTAAAAAAAATGAGAGGAAGAAGAAAAAAAATTGAAAACACGTAAAAATGTCATTATAATTTTCATGCTTCAATTAACTTCAATACCGTATTTAAATTATGATAAAAGAAAATATAAGAATTATGGTAATGTCCCAAATGACTTTGTGAATGAAGCTAATTTAGTTCAGATGAGTGTGCGTATATAGCCACGAGGGAAATTTAGAGTACGAGAAATAATTCAAATTCTTAGGTAGCATATAGGCTAATAACAATAATGAAATTGTAATTTTTTTTTCTCACCATTTGAATTGAAATTAAAAGCTTCAATTAAAGCAGTAATTTGATGCTCGTAACTAATGACATGAACAGGTTGACTCTCAAAGTGTATTTACCTTGCGGGAGGGATTTTGCGTCATTGCTGTTGATAAAATTACCGTTCCATATAAACTAATACTGCTACATTACCGCTCACTTACTCATTCATCCATTCATCTATCCATCCCGTGTCGCTAATTGGTATCAAATTATCTATTAATTTCAAAATAATATAAATAATAATCGGTCCTCATGCATGTACGTCCGAAAAATAAAGAGATGGTATATAATTGCAAAAGATATCATCTACACTTAATTTTTTGGTTGTGAATAATTAAAGCATAAAATATGAATCAATTTTTGTGTGCCATCAAATGGAAATGACGAATTTTTATTAGCTTTACTTTGAAATGCTGGTTTTTAGAGCCGTTGGCATCATTTTGACTTGTTGGTTTTGTAAAACTTCCTGTAAATAAGAATTCGGAATTTATATTTATTCAATATAAGAGCTTCCTGAACTGTAATAGCTTAATTAATTACATTTGAGTCAGTTATCACCTAGGAATCAGTATTTGATTCTTCAGGAATTTGGTTGATGACATTTCTTTGTTCAAAAGATATTTCTTTGATGCTGATTTCAATGAACTTTCATAATGTTCTAGTTTTTATTCTTGAACTTTTGAAACCAGTCTGTTTTTAATTTTAAGATATTTTGTAGACTTTCATGACATTTTATCTTCGCTGAATGAAATTTTAAATTTTAATATTTTTTGATTTTTTTGATTTCATAAATTTCAATTCAAACTCAGCTATAAAGAACAGGGTTAGAATTTCAACAGAATCCCATCCAAATTTTGTATCCAAAACAGAATATTATCAATTTCTAAGATTTTTGGTCCTTTTTAAGTTTGAATCATATAATTCCTTCTTAAATGCGCCGCAGTTCAATCAAATACTTTTCTCTGGAAAAACTGAACCTCGAAAAAAAGTCACATGCTGTAATTAAAATTATTGAATAATTAACTTGAATTACCCGAAAAGTATTCTATCCATCCATGTGTAAAGTAGCTGCGCACAATTTTTACTTCATTCACTGAATATTTTTGGTCTTGATCTTCACCAGTTACTACTCGATTGATGATGATGATCATTATATGCTGTTGCTATTATTATATTTGTTTAATACAGCAGATCTGTGACATGTAGACCACCCAATCATTATTAGGGGCAATGTGATATCAAATTATTATTAGATTTATTACATGTTATTGAGCAGTCAGCACAATGAGAACATGGTATGAAAAAAAATCAAAATTTATGCTAACTCACATCACATGACACTTGTAACGGAGAACACTATTTTGCAAAAAAAAAAAGGTATATTCTCTCAATCTGTGTGTATCGATACTTTTTGCGTCAAGTGAAATCGATTGTAAAAGAATTGAATCCTTATAATTTTAATACGAGATATTGTAAAGAGTTGCTCATATGCTGAAATGATACATGATTTTTTGTGAGATTATGAAATGATCACATTTGACACGCTTGAAATGACTTATGAAACATGAAGCTTTTAAAAAATGAGTATTAAAGGAATGAAAACATTCCTTCTGCTTGTGAGAATGGTTTACATAGTAAAATTGGAAATGCTTTTGAGGAATTTCTAGGTTTAAACTCATTTTAAGGTTAAGGTTTATTTAAGAGTTTTTGAAAATCACGCAATCTTTGAATTTTGAACTTTAGTTTTTTTCGCGCCAAAACAAATCAATCAGTGAATTTAATATTAGTCAAGCATTTAAACTTTGAAGCAACAGCACAAATGTGCTGAATTACTGTTAAAATGAGACAATTTCATCGCTGTAATATAAAATCATCTTACTATGAATTGGTAAGTAGATTTACAACTTTTCAACTCATTTCCCTTTTGAGAAGTAGTTTAATTTGTCTTTACTTACTTAAAAGTATAAGAAAAAAAATAAGATAAAAGTCACAGAGTCGCACAATGAAACGGAACATAATCTTACATCTAAATTGCCCCAAATCATCCATTCATGCAACATTATTTACTACTTTAATTTAAAATATCAAATTCATTTAATCTACCAAAAAAAAAGAAACTTTCGATAATTGAATCTTATGTATGATCTGAATGGCTTTTTCATGTTGCAATGAGTAAGAGCTTTCCTCAGCGTCATCATCATCAACATCTTTTGTTAAGTAGTTGAGATTCATTAAATTGTGTTTTTTTTTCTTCTTTCAAAGAATCCAACGAGAAGAATAAGAAGTAGCAACATGAAGCGTCAACCATTCTTAATAAATGTTCTTTCTCTCTTCTTATTTATGCCGCGCACATCCTGTGTGCCATCCAATTATTATTTGATAATTTTCGATCGACCGTGACAAGTTGGGAAGCATAAGTGATGGATTGATGGAATATGGCGAATTTATGGTGAGTTCTAGGTTGATAAGATAAATTAAGAGTAGTTTAGAATATGTCCTGACAGAATAAAGGATATAAGTAGGCATTGCTGAGTGGATTAGACTCCCACGACTCTAAATGTAATCAATCAATCAGGGATCAGGGTTATTCGTTCTGAAAGACTTGAAAGTACTGACTATCCAATATATATTGAGCAAGGCAACCCAATGTGCATTATTTCATCAAATCCATCTTCTAAAAACCACAGCTCAAACAAAATAGAACCTTTTTGATATATTTAGCTTGCTTTGAAATCGTTTTCGACTATACGAATTTGTTTCTTCTTTCCTATATCTTTTAGAGATCTTTATTCCACTTCTTATTCATCATTCATATCTTGGCGTAATTTCTTCGAAATATCTTTCACATTTAAAATATATTTTTGATCAATCTACTCGATAATTACATCTAGCTACTCTATTGTGCACTGATTTTTTTGTTATTTGGAATCTCCATTCATGGAAAGAGTTAAAGAAGAAGTAGAAAAAACATTGGCTGCTGCTGTTTCTGCTTGATGTCGAAAAATGCTCCAACTTTCAATTTACAATTTATCATCGAATGGATTGTAATAATCATTATTAGCTTAATGATCGATTTTAGCTCGATATTTTGTTGCTTTTACTTCATATTTTTGGACTATTAACTATTAATATTGTTATTGTTGCTGCCTATTTCCACTACTTCAATTGATCTGCTGTATATCATGTGTGTGTGTGTGTATACGTAAGTAAACAAGTACAATAATTGTAGGAGAAAGAGAGGCTGTGGCTCAATTTTTATGGCTATTTTCATAAAGAGTTTCATTTTTATGGAGTTTATGTTCAAGCCAGCGTTAAAATCATTTTTCCAATCAATTCAATCAAGTCAGTTGAAATGATGAACGAATTTTTAAATAGTTCACTTTTTTGTGCCTCGAACAATGAAACGAGTTGAATTAAAGATTCATAATTGCTCGTAAACTTATGTATATCTACTTAATAATAATATGAGCACTGCATGCAGTATGCATCATCAATAACAATGAAATTTTATATATTATCTATGCTGCTGATGCTACCTCGTCATGTATTCAACGTCGTTCACAACAATTGTTGAAGAAAGTCAGAAAAAGTTTAAAGAATAGGAAATTGATGATCTTTCTATCTTTAATATGTTGTGTACGCGTATAAATATGGATAGATAGATATATAGATAGATCAATAGGTAGAGATGAAAGGAATCTACATCCACATATAGTTAGCTACAGTAGTAGTATCATTAAGTCCAATTGCTTGTAGAACTGTTAACAGAAATAAATTAAGGAACCATCATTGACTATTATTAGCCTTCGTTGTTATTCGAGTTGAGTTTGATGAATAGAAATAGAGAGCAATTGACTAACATGATGAATATAGATGGAAACGATTACCATCTCGTTACCACTTCAAGATGAGTTTCTTATTGTTGCAATTTGAAAATAACACAAATAACTTATAAAGGAACATGAAATTCAATCAAGTTGTATTTAAGTAAGAGTATGGAATGAAGATCAGTTTAAAGCTTTATTAATGATGTATTTTATTAAACATTTCATCTTTAATTTATTTCTTTGATTTTATGTACATGCTTATACATATAGACTGTAATTAAGGCGATAATTACACATCCTTACTTCTTTTTCTTCAATTCTGGCAATCCACTGTCAAATTCTGAAATATTTGAAGTCTTTCCGAAATTTGTTTTTGAAAAGTCAGCGTGCTTCCTTTTGAGACGTTGGAAAGACCTTTGATCACCTCTCGGGACATGAACTCGATGTGTAAAATCGAAATTCTTATTCCTGCATGAACAAAACAAAAAGAGTCAAAAAGTATTAAAATTCACTCAAAAAATTTACAATAATAAAAGCCACATACTTCTCCTTCCTTCCTTCTTCACCCTTTGCGAACTGCCTAACGATCGATTTCGGTGCATCGCGCAGACCAAAATTATTTGCAAGATGTCCCATATGAATCTCATGCAAATTAAACATATGTCGGAGCTCTTTTGAAAATGTTTTATAATAACAAATCCATGATGTAAATGCTACAGTCGTGGAAGCGAGAGAGAAATTAAATTGATTTTGTTAGATTTGAAGCATAATAACTACTTGAAAATTTTAGCATAGAAAATAATATTTCCCACAATCATTACGAAACTGCAAAATGAGCACGAAAGTGAAATAACTCTATTTTTTGATACAAAGTTCAACGATGCTTATGAAATCAAATAGGTGAAATGATCTAAAGGTTTACAACTCTTGAGTTCCTAAGTATCCACTTGAAAATGCATAATAATGAAAATGAGCGAATGATACGATTTCTCATTTCAAAAGCCCCTCAAATGATTTCAAACAAACGAAAATTACTGTAATTTTGCATTTAAAGTACTAACATTGCGCATATCATTTCGTTACTTGCTCTATTGTCGTCACCATAAATAATTTCGACGTTCACTTATTCCATCCCTTCCGTTCCGTACATTATTGAGAAAGTTAAATAAATATATGAATTTTCAATAAGGACAATGTCAATTGAACTAGGTTGTAAGTTAATAAATCAGAAGTGGAAATTCCAACCCCTCAATAAATAAAAATTTATATGTTCAATATTACACGAACGGTGACTGTGTTGAAGTGTCTTTAATTTGAAACAAATAATTATGAGAACGTCAAATTAAAATCACGTTACAGGAATCGAAAATTTGATATGAGGGAAATTGTATATTTACGATTTAAATGTCATCACTGTTATTTGAGAATAATTATTAAGTTAAATATACACTGGTGGAAATTGAAATGAGACACTTTAGAAAAATTTACAAAAATCTTCCTCAATTTTGACTTTGACTATGCATATTGTATATAGACTTGTAGATTTTTACTTTCTTAACAATACTAGAGCATTCTAAAAATTTTTGGAACTTCCAGTCATCTAATATACTCAAGAGATTATTACAAAATTTTATATACACACGTTTTATGTGCATAAAATATTAATAAATGACAAAAATAAGAAAATTTTAACGGAATTTTTCGATTTGAATTTTTGTATTAATAATGTTAACAATTTATGGAATTTGATATTTTGGGATTTCATCATGACTTAAATGTTAATCCTAGCGTTTATGGACGGAGATAAAAAATATATGGAATTGAAAACTAACAGTAAAAACAACGCAGAAAGTGTCCTGAAAACTTCAGATTTTTTTGATTGACCAAAATAAGAGAAAAATTAATTTTTTCATATCCGTACTCGCTCGTAACAAGCATTTTAATTAATTTTTGTCATTTAAGCTTGGGGCCATTCACTTATTACGTAACGCTTTTAGGGGGAGGGGGGTCTAAGATTTTATTACGGTTCAAACAAGGAAATTTTTTTTTCATACAAATTTTGTTACGAGGGAGGAGGGGGTCTAAGAAGTCATTTTTTCGCGTTACGTAATAAGTGAACAGCCCCCTTATGTTGAGTTTTTTGACATATTTTGATTTCATTTGTTTTTAATAGATGATTATTCATAAAAATATTTGATAAAAACAAAAAACTTGGCTTTTACTTCTTTCTCTTGAGTATATTAGATGACTGGAAGTTCCAAAAAATTTTAGAATGCTCTAGTATTGTTAAGAAAGTAAAAATCTACAAGTCTATATACAATATGTATAGTCAAAGTCAAAATTGAGGAAGATTTTTGTAAATTTTTCTAAAGTGTCTCATTTCAAGTTACACCTCAAAAATCATATTTTGCAAATAACTTTAAACTGCTACATTTTCAGTCAGTACATTGTTCCTGTACTTAAGTTATTTTTTAAAGTCCTTTCCAATGATATACAACAAGTAAGGCTTAATCTTTCATTTGTAAGACTTTCACATAAAAAACATGGCTGTCTCATTTCAATTTCCACCAGTGTAGTTGTTTCTTAAAGTAAAAGTCATGGTTGTGGAAATTCGTCATAATTGTTGTAAATTATTTTAAGAGACTTTAAAATTTAACGGTTTGAAAGATTTTGAATTTGTGTGATTGAACATAGTTGTTTGCCTTTCTTGATTGTTTTGAATTTTTGTTTCATTCTTTCAATGATTTACCATTGATTGCAGAATAAATTTTAATTTAATTATTTGAAACTTGCTGTTTGGCGTTAACTTGAATTGACAAACTTAGCAGCAACTATTAATGTTGCAAAAAATACTAACAAATAGACACTTGTTTCAAGGAAATAATCCAAATATTTCACTGAATTGAGCTTATAAATTTGGTAAATCAATGAAATTTTAATTTAACAAAGCAATCACTGCAAAGTTTCAATCACCAAATGCCTCAAAACATCCTCGACTAAAGAGAATTGACTTTATTTGCAATTTGATTATCGATTCCTTTCTAAATCCGTAATAATAAAAAAGAAACATTAAAGCTCGATTCATGAAGGATTAAGGCAGAATGTAACGAAAAAGAAATTGGAACATGATAGGGGATTAAAATCATTTTGATTATTTTAACACTCGCTATATGTTCATGTTCATTCATTCAAAATCACTGAATCATAAATAATCTGCTAAAATAGCTTGAGGTCATTTCTTTTAATGCACATAATTTCCATTCATCTCCACAACGAATTATGATGAGGCTGCTTTTGTCATTTTGCCAAAATAAATCGCTTCATTACATTCGAATAGAAATTTTGAAACTTATTAGGAAATGTCAACAGATTTTTTTTTTTTTTCATGCGCATAGACATCCCCATTGAGAGTTATAGAAATTGTGTTAAACACTTCTCGCCTTCATAATTGGCTTTAAGGGTGACGAAATAAATAAAATAGAAATAACATTTTGAGTACTTTAAATTAAATCGTTTACACTTTCATGATTCCATTTCCTCTTTGAAGCAAATAAAGTTATTCCATTTTGATGATATAAACACACATACACCCCTTACTTACCTCGGGATGCTTTTATTCTCAATTCCTCATCCTCACTCAGCAGGTCCTCTAATTTTCGCTGAAGTGTTATAATTTTCTCTTCAAAATTTCTCGTTTTCATGTTTGGTAATTGAACTTCCTTCAACGACTTCGTATAATCATCCTCTGTTATGCTGTATATTAGATTTATTAGATATTAGAAAATTTATTATTGACAAAAGACAATTTTGCATCATACTCTATGTTCTTTTCTCGCAAAAAGTCTATAAATTTATCTTCATTGCTTGTTAAAAAGATGATTGCAGATCCTTTATTTCCTGCTCGTGCTGTTCTGCCAATTCTATGAACGTAATTACAAAACTCCTGTGGTGCTGAATATTGAATAACCAAATCCAATTGTGGAACGTCTAAACCTCGCGCTAGATATGTGCAATAATAATAAAATTTGCTTTATTTCGCAATCAGTTTATTGACTTAGATTTTAGGGGTTCTGGGGGATTTTGGGTATGGGTGTGATAGTCGTGTCGAGTGTGCGACTCTTGGATTCATTTCTAGACACTTTTAGGTATTCATGATACCAAAGTCGCACGAAACACACGATTATTACTTTATGACTATACTTAAGACGCAAAAGCTTAATAAATTGTCAAGAACCGTAAAAATAAAGCACATAAAAGTTTAAATCCCTTTATAAAGCGACTTACCTGCGACATCAGTACACAATAAAATCCCAGTTTTAGAGGCTTTAAATTCACGAAATACAGAAACCCTCTCAATTTGTGTCATCGATCCGAAAAGTCTGTATAAACACGTACACACAAAAGAGAATAGAACGATGCAGCATAGAAGGTAAATTGCATAATAAAATAAATTTTATGTGCCACTTACTTAAAAATTGTCACATTAGGGAGCCAAATATTCCCATCATCCTCATCATCACTCTCTTCTTGTTCCTCAAGCATATCGTCTATATCAGCATCATCATCATTATTCAAATACGATTTTGCTGTTTTTGGCTTTTTCGTGAACGATTGTGTGAGAAATTCGACTAATGCATCATAATGATAATCAACAACATGTTGCGTTGGGAAGAATATTAATATCTTTCGTGATCCGTGCGACATTTTTTGTACTAACAATGAGCACAATACAATAAATCGCATCCTAGGTGGCAACATAAAGTACTTTTGTTTAATGCCTGATGGAATTGTTATGTTCTCATCTATTTCCATTAAGTTATTTATTGTATTAGAATTTTCATTATCTACATAGATTGGACTTTCTAATGTCAGACCTGCCAACTCTTTTACTTTTGCTGACAGTGTAGCTGATAAAAGAATTTTCTGGATATCTTTATTGGCCTTCTTACTATGTTCAGCTATTGTGTCAACAACTTTTTTAACATCATTTTCATATCCAAGTTCCAGTAATCGATCAGCTTCATCTAGCACAAACATTTGGACGTTGTCAAGCTTCATAGATTCTGTATGAATTAAATGATCACAAAGACGTCCTGGTGTTGTCACTAGAATCGTAATTCCGTTCCTTAATCTTGCCTTTTCTGTTTTTCTTTTCTCACCGCCACTCAAATATCCAGGAACTAACCATGTGAATGGTTTACATAATTTCTGAAATACTTCAAACGTTTGGACACAAAGTTCACGTGTAGGAACTATCACAAGTGCATGAATGCCTTGATTTCTCGTAAGTTTAGGCGTTATTTTCTGTAATTTTTCAACAATCACTAATGCATAACAGAGAGTTTTTCCAGATCCGGTAGCACTTCGAATTAATAAATCTTTTCCATCTAATGCTGATGGAATTGCTCTCTGCTGTACGTGAGTTAATTTATGGAAATTTAACACTTCTTTCAAGTTCTTAATGGAAAACTGATGAATATTTAATGAATCAACACTGTCGATAGTAAATACGCTTGAATTTTGACTTTGAACTCCTAATGAGGGTGAATCTTTCTCTTGTATATCCTTTTTCGGTGATTTTGTTTGATGCTCTTGCTGTTTATTCTGATCTTTTTCTTGTTGCTTCTTTGCTTTGACATTTTTTGATGGCTCATTAGGAAATGGATTTGAGACCTTTGAGAATTTTGTTTTTAACTTCTTTCGTTCATTTGCATTCATGATTCTGTCATTTCTAATCGGTTCCTTTGTAAAATCCACGACTGGCAATTCATTCTTTTTCTGTTGATTCTTTCTGTTCTTTTTATTCGTAACAACTGGATCATCAGGAAATTCAAAAATGCCTAATGGCTTCATAGGCTCTGCATTTCTTCCAATTAGCTCATCTATCGTCTTGTCAGTTATTTTACTTTCCTTTTTGCTACCTTTTGATTTTGGTTTGTCTTCTGATTTCTCATTATTTGCTATTAGTTTGAAGTCATTACTCTTTGGAGCTTCTTCTTTTTTCGACGGTCGTTTCCTTGCTAAAACTGTTGCTTTAGCTTTCTCGCCTGGATTAAATTCAAACGAAAATCCAGAAGGTGCGATACTTTGTTGATAATTTTTGCTTTCCTGTGAATTTAATTCTTTAATTGATGAAATCATGTAAAACTTTTTAAGAATTACCTTCTTTGAACTGTTGTCAGAGCTTCCACCAGTAATATTTAACAATAAAGCCATTATTTAATCAAAAACTTTAAAATTCTTAAATTACGATTTTGCAAAATTGAATGTAAATAAAAGAGCACGTTGGACTAATCCGAATCAATTTATTCGGTAGTTTTTTCTGAATTTGAATCTTCACTTTCCGTTAAAATAAAACGTGGATTTTTTTTTGAATCAAAATTTGTGTAAAATTGTTAATTAATAAAAAGTCTGATTTGTAAAGAAGGTATAATGTTGGACGTTTCTGCAAGCACTGTTGTAAGTTCCTTTAGTTCGAAAATAAGCATAATTTTGATAATAAGTTGATTATAAATTAAAGAAAACTGAAGAAGCAGATCATGAAAGTTCTGGAAGTGAAAATTCGTCCTATTCAGAAACCAATTTTGAAGAAAAATTGGAAGAACTGGAGACAAAGGTCATGAGACTTATCGAATTTGTTAGTAAACCATCAAAATAGTAAGAATTAGACGTTCAATTTATCAATATTCTATAGGTTATAAATGACATAAATCAGTTAAAAAAAACATCCAGAAAGAAGCTAGTAAAGCGTCAAGAATCTGACAAAGAAAACATTGAACAAGACAGATGGAAGTGTAGAATTTATGTGGGAAACATACATCCTCTTACTTCAATAGAAACGCTTCGTGATTACTTCTCAAAGTGCTGTGGAGAAGTTGTTAATGCTTATTTCTTCAGGACCTTCCCAACTTGTCAAAATGCGTTTGTCGAGTTTAAGAGTCCGTTATTTGTTGAAAAAGCACTTAAACAACAGCATTGTCTTAGCAAAAGAGGCTTGACTGTTGGACCAGCCAAACGTCGAAATGATAATTCATTAAAGGAACTTCAAAGCTTTAAGGCAAAGAACACAGATTTCAAGGTCTTGCGTTATCGTCCATATTAAGGCATATGTTATTGTTGAAATAATTTTTTGAAAGTTATTCGATTACTTCTCAGACTTCTCCAAATTCGTTAATATTTAATGTTAAGGTCATAAGTGCTATGCACTTTAATTCCGACAAATTCTCTCTCTTTATATTATATAAGAAAAATTCATTAACTCGCCAATAAAGTATCCTAATATTCCCATAATTATATTAAATTTTACAATTTTTAAAAGTGAGCAGCATGTAGCAATCAACAATTGACACGTGTCGTGGCATATCCACAAATATAACAAATTTTTAATGTTTCCTCATGTCTAATTTTCTCTTAAAGTGGCAATTGTTTGTCTAATAGATTTTAAGAGACAAAACAAAAATCCTTTGCAGCATGCAACAGCGATAGACACACACACAAATTAGAGGGGTTGATGATATCCAGTAAAACCACAAATTATTGTTTGTTTCTTCCATTTAAAGTTTTTAACATCAATTTTTCATGCTTAATGCATAAATGGAAAATCAATCGATCTTCCTAAATGTCCCCTTTAATCCCTTCTTGCCTAACATGCTTTAGATTTTAAATTTGAAAGCAGTGCACAAGTCAAACAAGAAAGTTATGTGTAAAGATGCATGACTTATGATTAAAATGACCCAAAACTAAAGGAATCAATGTTTATTGCTGTAGTTCCATTGTTATTCTGATTCCATGTTTATCCTTTTAAGAACAACTTGGAACATTTATTCGACTACAAAGCCATTAAAAATCCTTTAATAAATATTTCTAGCAATAAAATTTTACAACTTTTTATTCCTAAATGACTCAATTTCTATGTGCTGGATGTGCTAGAATGAGAACTAGAAACAGGATATTTGAGCATGGAAAATTACTTTTTATTCATTGTGTATCGCAAATGGCATAAAAAAGCATAAATAAATGGGACAATAGCGAAATAATAGTCGCAAATAGACAAACAGAAGAGACTACAAACTGCACACAGCACTCAGTTATTGTTAGAGATAAAAAATAAAACTTTTTGTCAATTTCCGGAAGAATTTTTTTTTTTCTTCGATTATGTTTGGGATGGGAAATGGAAATAAGGAGGAGAAAGAGAGCAATAAATTAAGTCAATTTGAAATATTTTGACTAGGAAAATTTTTATTTTTGTGCCTTTATTGTTGGGTAAATGATGTGATTCTGGATGTCAGACTGACTGGAAGTATTAATGAGTTGTTCTGATAAAATTTTTGGAATTGTAAAGATTGGACACAGATGAAAATCGAACCTTAATCGCTACTCTGTCAGAGCATCAGTTCCCCAAATTCAGCTCCAACTTGATAATAAAATTTTGCATTCCTTAAAAAAATTCAATTTAAATGCAAATAATTCATAAAAATCGATCATAGCTTTATATTTCCATTTGGGACATTTTTCTGTTCACAAAATTCATGCAATTCAGAAATTGCCAATCAGAAAAAAAATCAATTCCCTCATGAATCATGGCCATACAACTTTTTAGTTCTCTTTTTGCATTAAATGGACATTAAAAGAATTTTAAATTATTTCTCAATCAATTGCTTTCTTTCCTCCTTATTTTCAGTTCCATAAAAGATGGAAAGAATGTTAAAGTTGCTCATCCGAAACATATAAGCTAATGGAATCTCTTTTTGAAAGAACATTAAAAATTTAAAAAACGAGAATTGCAAGTCATTTTTGAGGGAAGAACTTTTTTTTGTCACATGAGCATGAGTCGAGATGTTTGGGAAAAGATTTACATAAAATCCACCACATAATCCTCACACACAGTTATTGTCATTATGAATAAAATTAACAGAAAATAATCATGAAAAAGGACGACGAGAATCTCGTGTGAATAGAATAGAAACACGAGACATATGATGATGATGTTATCAGTGAGATAAAGGCATGAGATGAAAGCTAATTGAGAGCATTTAAACGGGAACAATAATTTGAATTGTCAATTAGGGACATAAACCAGATCATCATCAAGATAATGAAACATAAAGTAATAGAAATAGCAGTGAAATGAACACAGCTAATGCACATAATCAGGAATAACTTTTCTTTGTGACAATATGTATGAGTGTCTCTATATGAGAGAGAAATTAGCAACCCTATGACATTTTATACGACACAAAATTACTCATGCTGCTGCTTTCATACAATAGAAACAATCTTTATCCCTTACTGTGATAAATATCAACATGGAAAATGAGATAATTCATCACAATTATGTTGTTGTTGATAATGCACACGTATATGAGGAATGGATGGTTACTCAAATGATTATTGGGAATTAGCTTTTATTTCTTGTGAATTGAATCGACATTACTAATTCTATGGATAGTTTTTCGCGTTAAGAAATCATCATTCGGAAAGTATAGATGAAGGTGGGTAGGGGAGATTTTTCAAATAGATTCAGATATCAATTGGTATTTTATGGTTCATAGCTGTACATAAATTTCTAAGTTCGACCAGATTCTAACCTCAAAAATTGATCTGAATCTCTCAATCAATACATAGTAGAATCGATCAAGAACCCCTATTTCCTCTCATGAGCATATATACTCATAAAATTAAGCAACTTAAGTACATCATCAGTATGAATTAAAAATCTTTTATCGCATTAATGTTGAACAAACAGGAAGAGAGAGGAAACCACCCTCATAATTTGATCAGAATCACTCTTAATGCATAATAAATTAACAATCTCACATAACAAAAGGGATTTTGTGGTTGGAAAAAAAATCTGTTAAAATATTTTTAAGAAAACTTCTTTTCATCCTTTTTGCAGCATTTCCATAAAATCACACATGTGTACGTAAAAAGGGGATGAATGAAGTTAATCCAAAAGAATTTTACTTCTATTGTTTATTAAATAAATCTTTACGTGACCTTTTTGTTCGTGCTGTTTGAGAAGCCAAAATCTTAAGTGACACCATTTTAGGTTTTCTCATTTTCACTTCCTTATTTCACAATTTTTCATATCCCTTACAGTTTCTTTGTGTACCGAGAATTTTCACCCCAATGAAATATAATAACGAATGGCGTAAATCCAATTTATATAGCTCACCTTTTAGTCCTTGTGTCTCCATCCTCATTCTTCCTTGAATCTTGCTGCTGTTTAAGAAAAGGGTAGTTCTGTAAAGTCAATAGAAAAGTTTTAATTAAATACCAAATTTAGTTAATTTTTCCTATAAAGAAAATTATAAGGACGGTGATAATTAACAATTATGAAAATATATAATTGGAATTTTATTTCTTCTTGCTGTTGATTCAGGAAAATTTAATTAGATTTAGAAAAAATATAGTGACTAGATATTAAGGAGTTTCCAAAATCGACCAAAAGATGTCACTTATTAATATAACGAACTTTCAATATTTTAAATTCTGTGTCTTTGGTTGAAAAATTCAAATTTAAAAATTCCGTTTATCTTTTTCAACAACTTTAAAAGTCAGCAGCAAGTTTTTAATAATTAATGGGTACAGGAAAATAATCGAAATTCAATCTTTTTCCTCAAATATTTCCTTCCATACCGATAATGTTTCTCATTCTCCATAGATTTTAATTAAATTGTTCCATCTCCTACCTAATGTAATATAGTATCTGTAAAAATGAAGTGGCTGTCAGGATGTGAGAGAGAGAGAGAGTGAGAAAATAGGATGAAGAAGTGAGAATTAAATTGCTCGCATCAATAGCCTAGAGGTGCAAAAAAATCCTCTTAATTATCTACCATCAATAATATATTGATCTATATACATGTAGAATATTTTTGTTTTGTCATTCAGGTGACACAAGAAACAATCAGCTACTGATGCCAGCTCGTGTATTCAGTTTCATAAACATATTTTTCATTTGAATTGTGCTTTTTGTTCTCTCTCGTTGGCTTAATCAAATATTTGCGATTTAAATACACCAAACACAAAAAAAAAATAATTCACGAGTATAAAGGAAAGTAAGTCAGGATAAAAAAAATATGTGAGCATCACCATCATCATCTCTACATACAACATACATAATACTCACAAAATACAGAAAAGAATGTTAAACGGCAGCATGGAAAGAGGAGAAAAAAAAAAGATTTTTCCTTCCTTCATACAACACACAGCAGTGTGCAAAACATAACAGTGGAGGCAAGACACAGTGAGACGTATAAAAAGGATAACAGCAAATATTAAATTTCTTAATCTTCCTCCGGCCGTGCTATCGTAAAGATCTTTTATCCAATTCGCACTGACACAACAACGGGATGATAAAATTCATTCAGTCAGACTGTTTAGTTTGAGATGTGAGCCGTAGAACTGTGCACCTGTTTTATTATTTTCTCCTCACATACACAATTCCTATATCAAATGATTTCATTCACGATAACTATTTTCTACGGTATGTAGCAGGTAATAGCTTGATAATAAGATTAACACCAACAGTGGAAAACAATAAGTGAGAGTGATAGTGACTGTAGAAAATAAATAAAGGATATAAAGAAAAAAAAAAAGGCACAAAATAAGTTGGAGCTTCACATATCATTATCGATTCATTTATCCATCTCATGAGTAGCTCTCAATAAGTACCTTCATTAACGAGTTTATCTCAGCAACTTATCAAGGATATTATAATATATTCTCATCAGTTCCAATTTTGCAAGGAGCAAAAAAAGAGGCATTAAAAGTGTAATAAAAAGGATATAGAAGAGAAATGTCTAAATTAAAAGTTTCAAAGTTCTTAGCCTCGTCGATGGTGCTAGTTTGTCTTGCAGTCATTTGCTCTGGAAAGATTCATCGTCATCATGCCACAAGTGAGTTGTTATGGATGGATTATATTTAATAATAATTGATTTTCGTCCCAAGATTAAGTGAGACGAAAAAAAAAAATAAAGACATTAAAATATCATAGATGGTGATAATTCCCATGCGGACGATCTTAGGTGGTATTTGTAAAACACGTCTAGCTTTAAGAAAGTGTTTTCGACTGGATTTAAATTTTTTAAAATATCCTATAAAATTTTAACAATCTCGAGAAGTAAGTTTTAGTTGCGAGGAGCAACCTTCTAGTCAAAAACTGTCCGAACGTCACTTACGAACGACTCCCAACAATTCTGATGATTCTCTTCGTTTGAGGTGCACAAGATTAATTGAAAATTATCCATTGGAAAAAAGGGAGATGTAAACAAAAGGATTTGCTTTGATTTTGGCCATGTGCGTGCCTATCTTATATGCTATGGATGCTTTTAATAGATTTGTGTACTAAAGCGTGTGATAATATAATTTTATTGAGTTCATAAGCTCAAACAACGACAGTAAAAGGTCGACTTTTAAGGTTGACTTAATAATTTGGCTCAGAAAATCTTTTTCTTCTTCTTGCTTATTAGTGCCAGTCAAATAATTCCTGTTTCTTATTTCTCATTTAACGTTTATTTTTTTCGGTAATGCACACACGACATCTTGAAAGCACAATATATGCTGTGATAGACTCTCACGATACAAAACTGTAATATAAACACTTCTCACATATTGAAATAGATATAAACGTTCCTATCATATTGAAGAGATAGAGATGGAGACATATTCACATTACATCTACATATTATATTTGATAAAAGTAATAGAAATTGAAAAAAGGAAAATATGTGGACTGGGTGGGGGTGAGAGCTTGAAATAGGAAAATATTTTCACGTTTTTCATATCTCCATTTATTCACATTACTATCGTCAATACAGTTCACTACCAGCTTGTGTCTCATACTAATAGAACAAAATGGGCTAAAACACCCCATTCAAAATGAACATTCGAGCTCTTTAATTTTCAAACACATTTTCCAACATAACAATTCCTACGACTCTCTATGCAAGTTTTTTTCATATGACGAAGGCCTATTCGGACAGCACTTTGGATGTTTGAGGAATAAATTATTCGAAAAATGCCAAGCATTTTTGCTCATGTTCGAGCTTAAATGATGAAAATAATATTCATAATTATACGCTTTAATGTTTTTCAAATTATAATAATTAATTGTGATATTAATAAACGGAAATATACAATTATAATGTGATATAGGGCTGGGAATACTGTCGATACGACCAAGCAATTTTAAGTTTTTATTGCTTTATTGATTTGGAATATCCAAGGTTTTGGAACTTTTTAAAACTTATGTATGGTTTTTAAAATCTTATATTTTGTAAATAAAAGCTTGTTTGAACAAACTTTCAAAATTCTCGCTTATTAACTAGTCACAAGCCAGTGAAAACTCATCAAAAAAGTAAGAACAACAGAAACACTATTAAGGAAACTCAAAAAGATTTATATTTCAATTTAAACTCAAGATTTTCGAAATTTTCAATATAACCTTAAAACAGTATTAAAATGTAAATCCTGTAAGAAGCGTTCAATCAATAATTAAATCACTTAGATCCAACAACTTCCGATTAGAAAGCTCAGGGCAGAAGACTTCTTGCTTCAAGTTATAAGAACGAATAATATTATGTTTCGCTTAATTTCTAAGTAATATACAGGCGCACGAAAAAGTATCAACTTTTAAGGCACGAACCATGATGAAGATATACAACAAGACTGGAAATTCCTTTTTCTTTTGGGGCATTTTTTGTGTATTTTTTAAAGAAAAAGCGAGCAAAAAAAAATTGAAAATGAATTTTAAATTGAGTGAAAAACATTTTAATGAGATCTATGAGAAAGTATATGACTATAAACCTAAATGAATGAACAATTAGAGACATAATTAAACTACCGCAGTAACCAATCCTCAATTCCACAACAATGATGAAAATGATAAAATTCCAAAAAAGAGTGAACGAGAGAGATGGTGAATGAATGAATAGAATATAGATGGATGGATAGATGAATAGAAGATCTAGAAGGTAGAAAAATGTATTGGGAAATATTTTCATGCGGGGAAGGATAGAAATAAATGAAATTCCTCATCGGAATCATTGATGAAGATATGATGGAATGATATAAACTTGGTATGAAGTGTCAACATTAATTCTTGTTTAATTGTGCCGATAAGTATAGAAGAATAAAGATTCTTCCTCATTTCCCTCAGTTGAGCTTTCTTGCGAATTGTTTTCTGGGAGTTTGGGGGGAAGTTTTGAACATTGCACAGCGCTGAAAATTTTAATCTCTATTCAATGTCTTCATGAATTATTCATTAAAGAGGCAGAATTTAATAAGGCGGCAAAAAACAACAAATTTTTTGACAACGATAATGCTCTCGTGATGTTTACATTTTTATTTATATTTCGGCCATATTTTGTAAAACTTCCTAGAAGGAATGTAGTGCTTATTTCCCTCGTTTAGTCCATTAGCCAGTTTGTTTATTCTGTCTGATCATTCGCTACCGAAAGAAGTGGTCCGTGAAATGAAGTCAAAATAATGTTGTTTCTAAATTTGTCAAGATATCATCAGATGTAGGGAAATTTAGTAATGAATTGCTTCCTTGCCTTTTATTCAAGCAGACTTCGAATTTCACACGTGAAGAGTGTATAAAGCCATAAGATCTTCATCAGAAAATAATATAGCTCTGATTTGATAAGCAACATTTGTAAATATGTATGGCCAACCTTTAATGTGTACAAAAATTTCCATAAAACCATTTCATTCACACCCTTTAATGTCATGTATAGCACAGACTGGTATCGATCAATTCCGCAAATAAAAAAATAATGGAATGTAATTAATTTCTATAAAACAACCTCTAAATGAATAATCTGTGAACATTCCCCATTGAAATTAAACATTTTCTCTATGGTTGGATTCTTTTCATTCCAATGGGATGCTCACTTAATATAGCAAATAATTTTAATCTTATTTCCTCCTTTAAAAATAAATTTAATCGTAAGCGAAAGAATTTCTGATTAAAACAGATGAAAAATGCGCCTTAATCAATCAAATCAAAAGTCTGCAACCACAAGTATTTTAATGTTCTTATTATTTTCCCACAAAAGCGTCCCTAAACGAATGAGCAAATAAACGAGTCTTTCTTTCCATGACAGATATAACACCAAACCAAATGCACAAAGTTACACTTGATCCCACCGAGAAGGTTAAGCTAACATGGATGGTCGATTGGCCCGAAAAAAATGTTTTCTTTCAAATCAAGAACGGCATCAATGAGAAATATAGCTGGTTTGCTTTAGGATTTTCACGACGTGGCGAGTTTCCTCTAACAGATTTTTGCATATTTCAAAGAGAAAACGACCGGATCGATACTAATATTGTAAGTTATAAATCATCATTTGTTAGTGAGTCTTTATAAATTACATGCTTTAGAAATACACCATTGTTCATTTTTTCTGTTCCTTTACTCCTCAAAATTATTATATTACATCATGTATTTATTCTGTATTCCATTTAATGACGATACTGAGTTTTGGGGTTTGTTTGGATATAACGTTGCACTAGGATGCAGTATTGGTCAACTCTATTTAAGATCAGAGCTTATGATTTAATCATTAGTTCTATAATGACCATTCTTAGATTGCATTACGGAATATCCGAGCAGCCCCATCTTTGCGATTGTTGATGATGGTAGTGGCAAATTATATAATATTAGGAAATAATAAGAAGTTGAGAAATGAGAAAAAATTACATTTTTTATATTGAAAAATTGAGATGGGACTGTTTGTGCTGTTTTTTTCCCCGCAAATATAAAATATATTATTCACGAGCAAGTGAAATGTATAGAGAGGAGGATAAGACGAGGAAGAAGAAAAAATACCGTCTGTTGCTTTCGCTTCTTATGAAATAATTTTCATCGTTTTTCCACTTCCTTGTTATGAAAATAAAAAAAAAAACTTAACATTGATCAATTTTAAATAATTTCATTGCTCCCATGTGATACAGAAATAAGGGAGAGATTGTGTTAGGAACAACTGCGAGCTCTTATCTATGCTTTGTCTGAAAGATTTATTGTCTGCTCACTGTCTGGACAAGTTGTTATATTGCGATAAATAAACTTTTAAACTGCCAAAGTATTTACTGTCAAATTGTTCTTTAAGCCATTCGATTTGAGCAACATGAAATCTTGTTCAGGGCAATTCTTTGGATGAGTGGAATTTGAAAAAAATGAGCTTTCATAATCCAATGTCAATGAGTTTTGTGTCAATAAATTTTTTTCTTTAAATTAATATTACTGTGAAGGAATAATAAGACAGAACTTTCGGAGATCATAAAGCATAATTAATTCTTTACAAGTGATCTATTGAAATGTTACAACTCACCTAAATTAAGTGAAAAATTGAAAAAATATGTTTGAAAATTTTGTATTTTTTCACGGATTAAGACAAAAAAAAGCTTTTTTATAACTCGATGACACAAGGAAATTTTTCAAAGAATTGAAATATTTCATTAATTAATGACTTAAACCACACAGAAAAGCAACCTAATTAAAGATTTTTGTCTGTGCTATAACTCAGTAAAGGTTATTCAATGTGGATATCTATAGTTTTCTCTAATTTTCGATTCTTCGGATGATGAAAATTAAAAATTCCGATTTCTGTCATCGAGTTATTGACTAAAGAATCCAAATAACTTAATTAATACAGCGACTAGAAGTATATGATATCAGTAGTAGTGTACATTTTAGATTTTTACATCGATAATAATCATAAAATCAGTGTATCTGATGGGAAAAATCAATAAAATTTCGATTTTTTGCTGAAAATTTTCCAAAAGTTATCCAAAGAATTGCCCTTCAAGGAAATCAAAAAAAAAAAGCTCAGCAGTAAGAAGAAAAGCATGAAAAAGTTTTGAAATTATTTCAATTGGAAGGACGGTTTATCAAAATGAATAAATTTTTAATGCTGGGGACTAATGATGATTATCAGTTCTTCTTCTTACTTGAAATTTTGGAAATTATGAGTTTATTATCCGTAAACATTTCGGAGGGTTGATTTTGATTCAAAAGTTAGAGATCTAGAAGTTTCACACGTTTTACAAAATCAATAATGAGAATTAACTCTGTTCAATGAATATTGGAAAGGCTTTGCTTTGATTTCGAATGATAATATTGACAAAGCTTTAACCTGTTGGTAATAATTACAATTTTGGTATTTACGATTTTCTTGTGAATTGAAATAAAAAACATAAATTTGAGTAGTTACGTAGAAGAACTACATAATTGACGTCCAAAAGTTTTAGTATTCTGTTTGAAATTAACATTTCTTAATATTAAAGACAGTTTAAAATTGGTTTTTTCATTTCCATCGATCTAACTCAGTAGATTTTGATTTTTTTAACAGAACCGCAAAGTCAAATGACCGAAAAGTTAACTTTCTATTGATTTTAGACGTGACTCTCGTTTTAAAGCAGAACAGAGTAAATATAGACCCTCATAGATCGTTCGAAGGCACAAAAACAATTTGAATATCACAGAAAGTAAATAAAAACCAAAAATCTCAGAATACATCACAATTTTCCAAACCAAAAGGCAGGAATAATTTTTATTCTCAAGGCTACTTTTGCGATAAATCCAAGACGAAAAAATTTCACATTAAACCTTTACTTACGAATTTTCTTTTCTTTGTCTCATTTTTATAAGAATATGTAACTCAAACAATATGTTCTGTAAACATAATAACAACCCTCTGCTATGCCTCAGAGATCTCAAATAAAAATTTTGAAGCTATTTTCGTATCCAAACAGAGAAAAAGAGTTTGATTGACAGAAGCTTTCTTTGAAGCATGATCAAATGACTATATCAAATAGCTTTAATCAACACATTCTTAGTAAAGAGCTTTGAAAATTTCTTAATCATCATAATAAGTCATTAATTATTCACAGCTGTTTAACTACCTGGAATGCGAAGAAGATTGTGGTTATAATAACAGTAAATTGTTGATAAATTATTCATTAAGGTTTTCCCTACAGACAGTAACTCTGTGAAATTTCTATGCGCCACTACCATTCTTCAAAATAAACATCAGTTCGTCTTTCACATTTTTACTTCTGCCAGTTCCCACATTTATTTTTTTTTTTGTCTACTTTCTTTCCAATATATCCTGTCAAAGGATGCTTGGGCAAGCAAGGACGGACGAGAAATCATTATCGATCATCAACAAGATTGCATCAGTATTGCACGAACGAGCAAAGATGAGATTGCATTCAGGAGGAAATTTGACACATGTGACGAGGACGATTTCCCATTTCATGAAGGAACAATGTATATTTATTGGATGCGAGGTGAAGAGCTATTGGAATTGGGTGACGATAGATTTCCAACTCCAGACTTGCCAGAATCAGATTTCGGAATGGTACATTTACAGCTTTTGAGAGCAGATTCCATTAGTATTCCGGAGAAGTGAGTATAGCATTTAAAAATTTATGTGACTTGTGATATTTTAAGGTAGAATTTATGTAGCTTTCTCAGAAGTAGACATCTGCAATATTATTCTCCTTTTTCTGTCTGTGATAACAAAAACATTTTCTTTGTAAATAAATGAGTTTCCATTATTTCCACAAACGAAACAAAAAAAGAACTAACCATAATACAAGGAACTAAGCTTCGTTTTGTAATTTGCATATACATGAACTTTATTTATTTAGGTCTTTTCTGACATATTTTATCATACAGAAAATGAATTAATTCTTAATGTTTTTGCCATGTTTTCTTTTCGTTTCTGTACCGTGAGACCTCAAATCCTTCCCAATGTTGAATTTCTTTCTTAACCTTCGAGAAGACACTAGATGGTGATGAAATTTAATTTAGAAATTACACAGAATTTACATTTACTTTATTTGCTTTTACCTGTTCATTAAAGTTTTATAAACATTCATTTCCTTCACGTTGAGACCATCAAGCATTGCACTCAGATTGTGATTTAAATATTCCATTTTCTCCATACCCATTAAAAATGTACCAACTTTCCCGGGAATATTCATTGAATGATATGCTGCCAATTTTCCCAATTGAACTTCATTTGATTTACAAAATTCTGATGCTTCAGCTGCTATAGCTTTCAATTCATCGTTTGCTGGATGCCAAGCTTGGGGACCATTGTTTGTTAATAATCCCATAGCTTGGACGGCTGCACATATAACTCCGACATTCATGTCATTAAAGAATGGTAAATATTCAAGGAGTGAATCGTCAGTAAGAACATAACGAGAATAAGTCAAAACGGTATCAAGTTTCCCATCCCCTTTACATATACCTTCCTTTAAGACGCTCAATGGATATCCATTAATTCCAATTGCTCGTATCTTTCCCATTTGCTTTAATTCCAAGCACGCCTTGAAAGCTCCATTAATGACCTCATCAATATTATCAGCAAACTCAACGTCATGAAGCTGATAAAGGTCTATGTAATCAACACCGAGTCGCTTCATACTTTCATCAACACTTTTTATGGTTCGTTCATAGCCAAAATCAAACTGATTTGGTCCTGCTCTCTCGAAACGACATGTTTTTGTTGCAATATAATATGCTTCACGAGGAACTTCTTTCAATATTTTCCCAATATTGCTCTCTGACTGTCCTTCACCATAATATACGGCTGTGTCAATATAGTTAATTCCTCTTCGTAATGCCTCAATGACAGTACGTTTGGCTTCATCAAAATCTAAAATACCGTATGCCATGTCACACAAAGTTCCACCGCCAATGCTTATTTTTGATACCAACATATGAGTTTTACCCAGTTGACGATATTCCATTCGTCTAACTTGGTCTTCATAATGAAATCCTTCCACAAATGTTGGCGGTAATGACATTCTTATAAGATTTACTTTTCCTTCTTTCCCCTTTCTTTGTTGTTCTTTGCTGTAGTCTTATGTTCTGTTATTATTATACTATAATCTTTTTTCTATCTAATTTCTCTCGATTATTTTGTGTCTATAGATTCGTGGATGCTCTACTTCACGTTATTTTAACTTATTGATATATGTTGTGTATGCTTTAAGCAAAAGTTGTTTTTAAACTGATACAATAGGAATCGATATTTGCCGGTTTTATACTTAATCTGATTCTCTCTGTTATTATATTTTCTTTTTATGAGAGAGCTCTTATCGTTATCAATAATGATAATAATATACTTGAAATCTAATATTTATTTATTATTTTATTAAAAGAAGTCTTCGTGCACGGCAATTTCTTCCAAATCACAACTTTTTTCGTTGAATGTTTTTTCACTTTATTTATGTTTCTGTGCTTTATCTTTAATGCTTCTTGTCAATTTGTTTATTGTTTTTAATTTTATTTTTCGTACGCTCAACGCAGAGGTGTAATGAGAAAATGTGACAATAAATTCTAATTCTTCCTTTAAAGTTTCATTTTCTCTGTTGTTTTCACATGAAATCTTCTTATTTATTCTCTTTGTATCGTCGGATGGAATGTGTAATGAAATTTGCTCAATAATTCAAGTGTTAAATACCGAGCATTCATACTATTTCATTTGATAATTACTTTCTGAAAGTCTTTAATGAATTTTATAGAAAAACTTTCTGTTTATAAACTATGAATAATGAACATTATAGGAAACTTCTGAGACTTTATAAAATAAAATAACTCGTTAGATAGTACTTCTGTTGATTATTTGCAGAACTTATTGGCTCATTTCTTTTAATTCATTGTAGTTTGTTTAAAGTTGCCACTTAATTGTTGTTAAAAAGTGACTCCAATAAGGGCAATTCTTTGGATGAGTGGAATTTGAAAAAAATGAGCTTTCATAATCCAATGTCAATGAGTTTTGTGTCAATAAATTTTTTTCTTTAAATTAATATTACTGTGAAGGAATAATAAGACAGAACTTTCGGAGATCATAAAGCATAATTAATTCTTTACAAGTGATCTATTGAAATGTTACAACTCACCTAAATTAAGTGAAAAATTGAAAAAATATGTTTGAAAATTTTGTATTTTTTCACGGATTAAGACAAAAAAAAGCTTTTTTATAACTCGATGACACAAGGAAATTTTTCAAAGAATTGAAATATTTCATTAATTAATGACTTAAACCACACAGAAAAGCAACCTAATTAAAGATTTTTGTCTGTGCTATAACTCAGTAAAGGTTATTCAATGTGGATATCTATAGTTTTCTCTAATTTTCGATTCTTCGGATGATGAAAATTAAAAATTCCGATTTCTGTCATCGAGTTATTGACTAAAGAATCCAAATAACTTAATTAATACAGCGACTAGAAGTATATGATATCAGTAGTAGTGTACATTTTAGATTTTTACATCGATAATAATCATAAAATCAGTGTATCTGATGGGAAAAATCAATAAAATTTCGATTTTTTGCTGAAAATTTTCCAAAAGTTATCCAAAGAATTGCCCATAAGAAAAAAATTCAAAAAATAAAAATCTGTCAAATTTAACATTATTTTACAATTTGTCATTCTGCAGAAATGTAGCAAACGTAGACATAGTCGTAAAAGATGTTGTAATTCCAACGTACGACACAACATACTGGTGTAAAATTCAAAAGCTCTCGGGTTCAATGAAACGACGACACATTGTTGAATTTGAACCACTTATACGAAGCCAAGAAGGATTTGTGCATCACATGGAGATATTCCATTGTGAAACAGATGCGAGCGTTGATATTCCTTTATACGAGGGTAATTGTGATGATTTACCTGATGAAGCAAGGGTGTGTAGCAGAGTAATGGCGCTTTGGGTAAAGTAAAGCTTAATTTAACCATCAAGTTTATGTTTACATACTTAATTCATTATAGGCCATGGGAGCTACACGATTTACATATCCAAAAGAAGCAGGTTTACCTTTTGGAGGTCCGGATTATAATCCATATATTCGATTAGAAGTACATTACAATAACCCCGATTTAGCAAGCGGTGTTGTTGACAATTCCGGCATGAGAATCAAATTTGTCGACAAATTAAGAAAGTATGACGCAGCTGTAATGGAGCTTGGACTAGAGTACACTGACAAAATGGCAATACCGCCTGGACAGCTTGCGTTTCCATTAAGCGGTTATTGTATAGCAGAATGTACGAAAATTGCATTGCCACAGGAAGGTATAACTGTGTTCGGATCACAACTTCATACCCATTTACGAGGCGTTCGAGGTAAAAAGTCATTCATTATCCGTAATAAAACTTTTATATGCAAATTTTATATACCTTTTTACATTATCTCCCATCCATCGCTTCCTTCACAAAGTAATGACAAGACATTTTCGTGACGGAAAGGAACTTGTGGAGCTCAATCGAGACGACTTTTATTTACAGCATTTTCAAGAAATTCGTCATTTAAGGAGAAAGCCTAAAGTTCTTCCTGGCGATGCTCTTGTTACGACGTGCTTTTATGACACTCGAGGGTATCAAAATGTTACACTCGGTGGCTTCTCCTTTAGAGATGAGATGTGTGTCAACTATGTACACTATTATCCAGCCACAGAATTGGAGCTGTGTAAAAGTTCCGTTTCGGAGAAGACACTTGCTGACTACTTTGAATTCATGAAAAAGTAATTTATTTAATAACGAATTTTACAAGGCATAATTTTTTTATGTTTATCATTTCCACATCTATATCCATCCGCATGCAAATAACAACAGAAAGGACCATCAAAATATTGACATAAGGAAAGGTCGAGCAGCATGTTACCAAGGAATAGAGTGGAGTTTGCCGCATGTAAATGAACTATTCACAATGTATACAAATGAGCCATTGAGTATGCAATGTAATCGTTCAGACGGGCACCGATTTGATGGATTTGAATGGGAAGGAGCACCAGTCACTGAAGTTCCGATTCAACCACCACAGCCTTATACATCATGTTCTCGTGGTGGAAAGACCCTTCAAAATAGTGATGATTGCGATATGTTTGGCATGTGCATTTACTAAATGAATATATTCTCAATATGACATGTAATTTGTATGTATGTATGATTTATGGAGCTTCACTTCCAATTTAGAATAATCAACAACAAAAAAAAAAAGCAACAAGGGAAGGGTTCGTTCACTTATTACGTAACGCACTAGGGGGGGAGGGGGGGTCTAAGATTTTGTTACGGTTTGTTACAGGGGGAGGGGGGGGGGGGTCTAAATTTTGTTACGTAACTTTTCAAAAAATATATTTTTTTATAATTTTTTCTATATTAAATTAAAATTTTAAAGGAAGTATAATAAACATTTGATAAACAATTTAAATGAAAAAAATTATTGTTACGTTATGGGGGGGGGGGGGGGAGGGGGGTCTAAGATTTTGTTACGCTTTGTTACAGGGGGGGAGGGGGGGTCTAAAAACTCGTTTTTTTGCGTTACGTAATAAGTGAACGAGCCCGAAGTAATAATAACTTTTTTGCACCAGAAAATGATCATTAATATTATGAAAATGTAGATGCCTAAAAATCTCTCACGCTCTTCATTTTTTGAGAACAAGCTATAGATTCATACATTTATGCTGTGTATGTATGCTTCTATCATGACATTATATGATGATGAATATGAACATGAAAAATCTGATGTTTTTTGAATAAAAATTAATGAACTGTTACAATTATGTTTTTGAAATATTAACATCCATACAGCCATTCCCGACATCATAATCAATCGGAATTCTCATATTTCTCATTCATTTGATTGATATTTTGAAATAGACAAACATAAATTTTTTTATCATAGCAGGCTTTTGAATTTTTCATCAATTTTCACATCAAAAAATTTTTTTTCTACATCGTCAACGAGTGAGACAGGATTTTTTCGGATAAACTTACCATAATCTATTGATTCTACAACATACAATAATAATCTAAGCATGGCGTGTTTTGTGGAGCAAAATGGAAGCATTTTTAATGACGATGATGATTTGTTCAGCGATACATCTACAATGAAATGCTATTCATATGGAAATTCAGGCAAAATTCAACGGTATGATAAATTATAGAAATATAACTCGTGTCTGTACTCTTTTTTCAAGTAGATCCAGTGATGGTATATTGGTGATTTGCATTTAGGTTTAGTTCATTTGAGTTGTCAGATTCTCAGATGACTAAGGTTGATATCTGCTGCTACCAAAAACCTTTTAAATACTCCCAATCAACGTCATAGATAAATGAACCCTATTAAGAACAATTCCAATGTACACGTCTGACTCACTCACATGGCATTTAAATAACAACATTGTATAGACACAAAAGAAAGAATGTACAAGCTTAATTTAATGCAATTCATATGAAATTTCCTTACAGTTATGTCAATTCGGCAACATATGTCGAGAACGAAATTTACAGAAGCAGAGATTTTGAGACAAATTCAAATTCCGGTAGCGAAGAAGAAGACCCGGCATTTGAGGATGACAATATCTCATCATATACATTTAAGAAAATTTGTCGAATTGATATGTCGCCAGAGGCTGAAGCAAAGAGACGTGAGGCATATGATAATTGGTTAAAGGCTGTAAATGAACGTGAAAAAGAAAAGAAACGACGACAAAAGGAGAGAATTGAGGCTGAACATAAAATGAAGCTTGAAAAGGAGGAATATAAGAAATTTAAAAATGATGAGAAGGTAAAGGCATGGAATGAAAGAAAACGTCGCGAGGCGGAGAAGAAAATTTGTCGTCTTAATGACATGAAGCAAGTCACTGAGAAGAAAGTGAATGAAAAGCCAAAGGAATTTAAGAAAGCTATTCGATTTGAGGAATGGGTCACAAAAAAGAATGAGGAATACAAAGCTTTAAAGGCACAAAAGGCAGAGGAAAAAATAAAATTAAAGGAATATTCAAAGACACGTGAGACTGTCTCTGATGTGGTCTTTAAGAAATGGCTGAAAAATTCTAAAAATGTTGCTAAGCCTGTTCCATTAAATAGAGGATTAGACAGCTTAAGAGGCTCAACGACAAAGCTTTATGTCAATCCGACTCCTTGGAAATCATTGGAGCAGTAAAAAAGAAATGGATTCCATTTAGTCATGTCAATCAGTTGATTAATGAGTTCTTGACTTTTTTTCTTCTATCAGCTACTCATTTATTTCTTAGAAAAAAAGTTAAATAGACAAAATTACCATTGAGTGTTGTGTCTTAATAAAGGAAATCATCGATACGGATGCAACTGCGCAGATTTAATGTTTGTCTTAATACTTGATGGCATCTTCCCCAGTTGCATTGGTTGAATTCCTGGAGATCCCATTTGAACTGGAACTTGTCCAGGAACACCTCTTGGCTGTTGCATCATCATTGGACTGTTCGTTTTAAGTCCAATACCTAAAGCGATTGCTTTAACTAATGTCTGTGTATCACCTTGATTGCAAGTCTCAGTTCTGACATTTCTATGTAGCGATTCCATCTCCCACTCATCTCTGGATTTTGATATCAAATCAAACACATGAGAAACAATCTTATTGAATTGAGCAACTTGCTTTGATGCTGCTTCATTCGTTATTGCGTTGGCTTTTGCCTCGTGAAGATTCATTCGATTTTCTGCTGATGGATCTGGCTTTGTTCTCAAATAATCGGGAACTATTTCTGCTGCAAAAATTGGTAAACGTCCTTCTGTTGCCTGCACTAATCTCTCATCAACATCCGGACTCAAATTAAGGGGAAGTACTGTCAAATTTCTAATAGGAGGTGTATATTCCAGCGATAACATTTTAGACAATCCAGCAAGCTTTACAAAAAACATAGAGTATTAGTTCAAGTTCAAATTTTAGTGATATGACAACTTACATGAGATGATATCAATGCAAAATTGTCCAGAAATGTTGGCCAATTGATTGTTTCGTGCTCAAACTCTGTGAAAAGGTAAATAACGTCAGATTTCTTTTTTGGATTTCATAACACTAAATGTTTTACCTATTTTCTGTATCATCTGTCCTATTGCAATCTTTAGATCCTTCAGCTTTGATAATGAATTATCTAAAAACATTTCCAGTTGCTTCTCTTCACGCTGCATTTTGGAGTTTTAATTAATTTTATTAATTTAATTTGCAGAATATTTTTGTTGTTTATTATTGTTGACACAACTTTTTCCTGCTTTTTCCCCTTTACGAGGGGTAGGTAACATGTTTATTGTTTTCATCTTTTTCATGGTCTGTTATGGAATTTACTATGTGTATATCGTAGATTTCGTATATTTCGGCTACAACTAAATGCTTAGAATAGACACTAAGAGGCTATGAACGAGGAAGTTTAATTAAAAGTTTAAGAAAATTTTAACGGGTTTTTCAAATTTTGGCGGGTTTTTAATTCGAATCAAGGTATGGAAGCTCGAAAAATTCTCAAAACACTCTAATTAAATGATTATATTGACATATCAGATACAAGAAACAATCGAGATTATTGCATGATATCACATGCAATTGCCCTTATTGCTTAATCACTGAAATAGAGAAGTAAAAGTGTTAAAGAACAAATGTTAAAGTGTCCTTGCCTTGATCCGAAATTCATTTCAAATTGAATTTTCCAGAAAAGTAAAAAAAAGTTATTTTCAACAATAAAACATTGAGTAAATAATTTATATTTGTGATAATCGTATAACTAATCAAACAACTGAGTAATTAACGTAAAAATAAGATGTCTGGAATTGCTATTGCTCGTTTATCTGAGGAAAGAAAGGCTTGGAGAAAAGAACATCCATTTGTGAGTAAAAAGATGCTTTATTTTTATATTTGGCGCTATATTTCACAATTTTATGAATTTAAATGTACTATACTTCATGAAAAAGTGTTCAAAATTAATTAAAGTTGTGAATTAGAGTTTATTTTTTGATCCCAAACATAACCTCGAATAGATTGAAGAATATCTGTATTTATGAATGAGAGACAGTTAATTAAGCTACATTTTTTACTTTCAGGGTTTTGTCGCAAGACCAATGAAAAATGCTGACGGAACATTAAATTTAATGACTTGGGAATGCGCTATTCCAGGAAAGAAAGGAACGCCATGGGAAGGTGGATTATACAATTTAAGAATGATTTTCAAGGATGACTACCCAACGAGTCCACCAAAATGCAAATTTGAGCCACCGCTTTTCCATCCAAATGTTTATCCATCAGGAACTGTCTGTTTGTCACTTCTAGATGAGGAAAAAGACTGGCGTCCTGCAATTACGATCAAACAAATTCTTCTTGGCATTCAGGACTTGTTAAACGAACCAAATATCAAAGACCCTGCACAAGCTGAAGCTTACACAATCTACTGGTATGTCCTCATTTATCTTTTAAGTTTTAATCCCATAAAATAACTATGTTATTCATCATTTTGCAGTCAAAATCGATTGGAATACGAGAAGAGGGTTCGAGTACAGGCTAGGGCTATGGCAGCACCACAATAAATAAGGAAACAACAAATTTACACATCTGATTATGGATAACTCTTCATTTTTACAAACATACAATTAGGAACAGATCTTTTCTTCTTTGAAAATAAATAAACAAACACACTTAAAAGTCGCCCTGTATGTCATTCACGATTTTAAAACAAGAAAACTGTCTGCTTTGCAGATTCATTTGAAGAATAGATAATATATTAATACTTTTTAAGTTACGCAGTTCTTTATTCCAACAAGTGAATTTTCATTATTATTTAATTAATATCATCCTTTTTAAGTATGCTAGAGTTTAAGGATTCTTTCTTCTATATATTCTCTTTAAACAGATGATATGTAATAATAATAAACATTTTATGAACGTAAAAAAGACTTTGTTTTTATTTTTGTGCCTTTTTTTTGCTGTGCTTTACTTTCGTTCAAAATTTGTCATTGCTGCAAGTTTCAGTATATTTAATTTTCATACAGCTACAATGTATCTATTTCTCTCTGTTTAAGTGACTAGGTGAATAATTGTGTCTAGAGTTTAGTCATCAGATGAGTTGATTGATTAGATAACTTAGCTGTTTTCAAGAATAATTAGCTCATATAATAATAATTGGAAATGCTGACTGCAGATTGGAAATACATGAACAGTAAAAAGCAGTTTCCATAATGGACAACAATGAGAAAAAAAAATCTGCAATGGTCTTTGTACTTTATTTGGCAATGACACAAAAAACTTCGTTCATTGACTATTTCGGGTGAAAAGTCGATTACTTCGCAGAAAGATTATTATTATTATTATTATTGGAACCAAATGTAACAGACTTTTAGAGGCAAAGTTCATGATGGTTCATTCGTCTGATAAAATTTCCATCGTTTTGTGATTTGAAATTCAGATTACAATGTCATGACATTGAAAACCTTACAATTCCTATCTTAAACAGAATTTATAAACATTTGTATTGTTTTAAACAAAACATTGTGTTTAAAAACCCTGCAAATGTTCTTCTTCTTCTTAATTAACTTTATTATGGTCCATCAGCTTATTGCTATTTAAAGACCGTTCACAATTCCAGGTAGTTTAATTTACAAATATACACAAAGAACAATCAATAAAATCCAGTCAACTCCAAATGGTTGACAGAAAACATGCCCGTGATAAGTCAAAACAACAAAAAACCATCGCTAGGCAAAAAATTCCATCTTCAGTTGTCGATGATCCAGATCCCTTGACAGTCCTTGTAATTTAACTTGTGATATTCCAAATAGATTCAATTTTTTCTTATGTCTCGATTGTGATCTGTCAATTTAATTAATATGATCTGCTGTATTCCGAGATGATCGATTCCTGTTTGTCAATGTTGATTTGTTGAAATCTAGTCAGCACCAATTGATTGATAGAATTGCCCGCGATATATGGGGAAACACACAAAACCCATCGCGAGAAAAATTCTCCTCACAATTGACGATAATCCGTTGTCTAGGTTATGGTTATGATAGAACCTTCTTGTCCACGATTGTTGGTAAAACACAAAAAACCCACGCGAAACAATTGATTCTCCTCACAACTGCCGCCGATCATGATTTGCCAATGTAATTAAATGTCCGTTGGTATTCCGATGATGATCAATTCCGTTTTATCTAGGTTATGTTCAAAATTTGCACATTTTTTTTTTCCAATTTCAATTTATATCCAAAATTTAATTAAATCGCGACTTTGCTGAGTTTTCTCCTTGGTATCTTTGTTCTTTGTTACTTTGAAGACAGTTCCCGAAGGTTTGTGACTTATTCCTACGCGTAATTAATTAATTTTGAAGTATTGCACAATTCCACAACCTCCTCATTCGGAGGTTGGGAGAAAACTCCCCCTGCAAATGTTATTTTAATATTGGAATTTGTATGGTTTACAAAACATGATTTGAATTTATCTGACCCGTTTTTTAATGGTTTGAAACCAAAAAAATATTGAGTTTTCTGGAAAATTCATATGGAGCCGTTCACTTATTACGTTCGCACTTTAGGGGGGAGGGGGATTTGAAACATTGATTTGAAACTCAGATTTACAATGTCATGAAATTGAAAACCTTATAATTCCTATCTTAAACAGAATTTATAAACATTTGTATTGTTTTAAACAAAATATTGTGTTTAAAAACCCTGCAAATGTTATTTAATATTGGAATTTGTATGGTTTTCAAAACATGATTTGAATTTATCTGACCCGTTTTTTAATGGTTTGAAACCAAAAAAATATTGAGTTTTCTGGAAAATTCATATGGGGCCGTTCACTTATTACGTTCGCACTTTAGGGTGGAGGGGGGTTTGAAAAATTGATTTGAAACTCAGATTTACAATGTCATGAAATTGAAAACCTTATAATTCCTATCTTAAACAGAATTTAAAAACATTTGTATTGTTTTAAACAAAACATTGTGTTCAAAAACCCTGCAAATGTTATTTAATATTGGAATTTGTATGGTTTTCAAAACATGATTTGAATTTATCTGACCCGTTTTTTAATGGTTTGAAACCAAAAAAATATTGAGTTTTCTGGAAAATTCATATGGGGCCGTTCACTTATTACGTTCGCACTTTAGGGTGGAGGGGGGTTTGAAAAATTGATTTGAAACTCAGATTTACAATGTCATGAAATTGAAAACCTTATAATTCCTATCTTAAACAGAATTTATAAACATTTGTATTGTTTTAAACAAAATATTGTTAAAAACCCTGCAAATGTTATTTTAATATTGGAATTTGTATGGTTTTCAAAACATGATTTATATTTATTTGATCCGTTTTTTTAATGTTTTAAAACCAAAAAAATATTGAGTTTTCTGGAAAATTCATAACATTCAAACTCAAAAATTTCCACAACGAATGATTCACACGAAAAATTGCGTCACAAATGTGCGAACACACGAAGCGATTTAGTTCGGAGAAAAATGCACTCAAGTCAATCGCATTTGGTGAGAACAATGCCTTATATTCTCTCTCGCACACACATTTCAAAACCATATGACATTGCATGATCTCACCTTGTGTTCATTTTAGCAGACTGCAATTCTCGTAAAAATCATTTGTTAACAGAAATGAAGGTAAACGATTGATGATGCATTTACTGTAAATAGGAAGCAATTTAAACAGATGTTTTTAGGTTGTTCTTTTAGTTGATTTTTATTTGTTTTTTACATTTCATATTCACACAAAATTTTCAATTTTTGTGAATATATTGTTTTTGGTTTTTCGGAAAATCAGTTTTTTTAACTTTCTGCTTCAGGCTTACGAAATCAACCCAAATACCTGATATGTAAAAGTTTGTGCCTCGAAATACCTATCTAATGGTGAAAACAATTTTTCATTTGGCAGTTCCAGTTCCAAAAACTCGCAAAAAAGGGCATTCTGTTAGTTAGTTAGTTAATCGGTGCGATAACTCGCTTCAAACTTAATATTAAGACTTCCGGTTTTTTGCTTCTGATAGATAAAGGCTACCGCAAGAACTGTATTGTTTTTGGAGTCATAAGATGCTTCCAGTGAGGCACAAGATGCATAAACATATTTGTATGGGAAAAGTTTAACCGATTATTACATAACATATTTATTTTTTGTTTACAACGGAAATATTTGTTGGTATTAGTGTGATATTAATAAAATGGTTGTGACAGTATGCATTAAGTTAAATGTATGTGAAAAAATGTTGGAACTAGCAAGTTCCTTTACAAGATTCAGCATACTGTATCTATGTTATTAAATACAAACTTTATTTGTATCATAATGAAAATATTTTTTTTTTTGTTTAATTCTTAATTTTTTTCCTACTCGATTATTTTGTTTTTGTTTCAAACAGGCTTATACTTACTGAATCTTATTTCCAACGACAGCACAATTTCAATTTTACTTTCACAATGTCTGTGAAAGTGTGTTAAATACTTGTTAAATGATTGAATTAATTTTCCACAATGATTTTTCACTTTCAACAAATTTTCAAAGTTCACTACGAACTTTTTCTTATCTTAATTATAAAATTGATTGAAATTGTAATTGTCAAAGCCTACTTAGATCTTTTTCTTATTTCTTAATTATAAAAAAAATTCAAATTGAAATTGTCAAAGCCCACTTGTACTTTTTCTCAAACTTTACTGGATCTTGATTTTAAGTTTCAGACATGCTTAAAACTTTACTGGATCTTGATTTTAAGTTTCAGACATGCTTAAAACTTTACTGGATCTTGGTTTTAAGTTTCAGACATGCTTAAAACTTTACTGGATCTTGGTTTTAAGTTAAGACATGCTTAAAACTTTATTGGATCTTGATTTTAAGTTTCAGACATGCTTAAAACTTTACTGGATCTTGGTTTTAAGTTTCAGACATGCTTAAAACTTTACTGGATCTTGGTTTTAAGTTTCAGACATGCTTAAAACTTTACTGGATCTTGGTTTTAAGATTCAGACATGCTTAAAACTTTACTGGATCTTGGTTTTAAGTTATAGACATGCTTAAAACTTTACTGGATCTTGGTTTTTAGTTATAGACATGCTTAAAACTTTACTGGATCTTGGTTTTAAGTTTCGGACATGCTTAAAACTTTACTGGATCTTGATTTTAAGTTTCAGACATGATTAAAACTTTACTGGATCTTGGTTTTAAGTTTCAAACATGCTTAAAACTTTACTGGATCTTGGTTTTAAGTTTCAGACATGATTAAAACTTTACTGGATCTTGGTTTTAAGTTTCAGACATGCTTTAAACTTTACTGGATCTTGGTTTTAAGTTTCAGACATGCTTTAAACTTTACTGGATCTTGGTTTTAAGTTTCAGACATGCTTTAAACTTTACTGGATCTTGGTTTTAAGTTTCAGACATGCTTAAAACTTGACTGGATCTTGGTTTTAAGTTTCAGACATGATTAAAACTTTACTGGATCTTGATTTTAAGTTTCAGACATGATTAAAACTTTACTGGATCTTGATTTTAAGTTTCAGACATGCTTAAAACTTGACTGGATCTTGGTTTTAAGTTTCAGACATGATTAAAACTTTACTGGATCTTGATTTTAAGTTTCAGACATGATTAAAACTTTACTGGATCTTGATTTTAAGTTTCAGACATGCTTAAAACTTGACTGGATCTTGGTTTTAAGTTTCAGACATGATTTAAACTTTACTGGATCTTGGTTTTAAGTTTCAGACATGCTTAAAACTTTACTGGATCTTGGTTTTAAGTTTCACACATGATTA